GGAGGAGGAGGAGTAGTAGTTGAGGTGGTAGCAGCAGCAGGAGTAGCACTGGTGGTGGAGGGTGGCGGTGGTGGCGGTGGTAGTAGTAGTAGTAGTAGTGGTAGTAGTAGTAGTAGTCGTGGTGGTGGTGGTGGTGGTGCAGCTCGCCAGCCGGTGCTTCTTGGTGCTTGGTTCATCTACGCAGTCTTCGTGCCCATGGAGTACGCTCCTAGCCTTGAGGAGAAGACCAAAGGAGCCTTTTCGTCAGATTGCTTCAGCTATGTGTGAGGGGTATTGGCCCAGACTTTAGCCAGCCGAATTTGTTCAAAAAGGGACGCCGGCATGCGGACGCTGAGGGTTAACATAGCTGAGCAATGAGCACACTCGCAGAGTAGATATCTGCACAAGGCTGCTCCAAAGCATTTCCCATTGCCAGGTCCATCTTCGAAACCCGAGCTGCCAACACCAGACTTGGCCGAAGTTGAGTTCACTTGGCCGTCTCTGCTCTGAGCACAATGACGCGCAATTTGCGTCAGGGGCCAGGGTTCTGCTAAGCTCCAGCAAAGCATTCGGCCGAACTTCTTCAAAAATGGACACTGGCATGCGGAATAACTGCACAGGAACAGGAGCAGCTACACCCTCTCTGACCAGTTACCCATAGAAGGCTTTTCCCGAGCAGTTGCCCATTGCCAGGTCTAACTTTGAAAGTGCCGCCTGCACTCAAACTATGGGGCCGGCGAATTTAGGTCCAAGGGCCAAGCATGACCACATCAACTGGAAAGGTCAACAGTACAGTCTAACTGCTAAACAAACGTGCTCGTGGCAACATTTCTCAAGCCTATAGTCAGCCTGTGTGGCTCCTGTCCCAGAGGAGGCGATTGTGTCGTGTTCGGGCACGTTTGCTTTGAAGGCCCTACCGTCAGAACAAGCGTCGTGCATCTTCGCTACCTCATGAGTAGCTTGAGAGGAGCACCATCACTACACCGTTCAAACCAACATGGATAGACTGGCCATGCAGCTCACTCCGATGAAGGCCGCATGGTGCGAGGCCGATGTTGTGCCACCACCGACGCTGCTTCCTTGCGTGGTGCCGGTTCCTCCGTTTCCGGCTTCGCTGGTCGTCGTGGTCGTGGTCGTGGTCGTGGTCGTGGTCGTGGTGGTGGTGGTGGTGGTGGTGGCGGTGGTGGTGGTGGTGGTGGGGAAACCCTTGTACTGAAGCTTACCAGCACCCTCCATCACCATCTTCGTGCCATCGGATGAGATCGCGATAAACTTGGCATTGTCCTTGGATGTGCTGGTCTCACGACCTTTACAGTACAGTAAAGTCAGTCAAGGCGCTTCTTCTTGGAGAGGCAGGGATCCTTCTCAAATCTCGGTCAAAGATGCATCCAGGCATCCGGACTGGTTGCATCCTCGGTCCAGGTGACGCCGAAATCGGAGCTGGTCCAGAGCTTCGAAGACATCTTGGTTGCGCCCATCACTGAGCCATCCGCGGACATGGACACACTTTCCCAAACACCAGAATCCGACAGGACCTCAGAAAGAAACAAAGGAAAGACGAGTACCTTCCAGGATGGTCTTCGGGGTTTTGGGCATGCCAGGGTCCCCTGCTCTGATTGCCTATGACTTATGACCCCTTGCGGGCTCATGGAGATGCCCGAATGATCCCAAACGCACCAGGGGAAAAAATAAGGTAGTATAGTATATTCAGTGTAGTAAAACAAGCTTTCAGCGGCTCAGAAACCTGCGTCCAAGTTGAGCCAGTGTTATTGCTGATCCAAATGCCACCGTTGCCATGGCCCACAGCTGCCATGATCGAGCCATCTGACGTCATGGCGATGGCATGGAGGCTCGTGGATTCGCTCGGCGTGTTGGTTGCCCAGTTGGCACCTGGGGGAATTGCCGCTAAAAGGAGCCTGTGGGCTTTCTTCGGTAAAGATGGACCCCTGGAAATGCTTTACCTTCAGCAACCAGGTAGCCAGCCCTTATTCAACGGAGAAAAGCCCGCCTGCGTCAGTGCTCACACGCACTCCCGCGTTGCTTTGCGAGGTCACGGCTGCAATCACATTGCCATCGGCCGACATGGCGATACCCGTCATTGGGATCGTCGAGATCTGGTTCCAAGTTGCACCAAAATCCGTGGTTCGAAAGCTGCCCTGGGTCCAGGTCTGCGCATCCACATCACTGGTGTCACCAGCTGAGACCTGGTAGCAACCGACATCTGGGGCTCTTTTGCTGCGGCTTGAGGTCTGTGGCGAGGTCACAGCAATGGTGGATCCAGTGTATTTCGGTACGTACCCTGCTGGCAAAGGAGACTTTGACTATATTGCCTTGCGAAAAGTGGTTGTTTCAAAAAAGACGAAAGCAGGCTACTCAAGACGAACATTGAACATACCATTTCGGGAAAGTATCAATGATGTTGCCATCCGGAGACATTGCCAGGTCACGAAGCTTCTGAGATGTTGAGCTTGGGAATTGTGCACCAGTCAATCCCGTTTGAAAGGTTGGACCGCCATCGCTCTTCCACATGTTCACTTCAATTCCACCGGCGACAAGTTTGGATCCATCAGCTGAAAGGGCAATGCCTTCCTTGGACGTAATGCTACACTCGTGACTTTCTAAACATCCGGATCAAGAGTTGGTGAGTCGTTGAACATTGTCCCTTCCTTCCTGGCTCGCTCCCTCCCTCCCTCTCTCCCTTTCTCTTCCTTTCACTTTCTCCCTCGTTCGTTCCCTGTCGCTCTGTCCTTCCCGTCCTGCGCACACCCCCCCGTCACTCTCCGCCTGCCTCTCAATCTGCCACTCTCGCTCTCTCCCCTCCCGCTCTCTCTCTCTCTCTCTCTCTCTCTCTCTCTCTCCCTCCCTCTCTATCTCACTTACTCACTAGCTCACTCGCGCTCTCTTGCCACCATAAAGATGCTACTGTGTGTATATGACCGTGTATACAACCAACAACTTGGGATGGGTGTTGGATTCTGCGGGAAAGGAAGGCAATTGTCTTGTAAATCCGGGATTCATACTTCTTCTCCATAGGAGATCGCTTTGTCCAGGTTGCTCCGCTGTCTGTGCTGACCCAATAGGAATTGTGCCCAGCACCAGCGATCACGGAGCCATCAGCCGTCATCGCAAACTTGCTGCCGACTCATACACCGAATCGTTGAACAAGCAGTCATGTGAGTCACCCCTGCCAAGTTCGTGTGCGAAAGCTGGAAATACAGCAACACATCAACAACAAAAAACACAACCTTGATGTGTCCAATCTAAATACTGAATAAACCCGTCCATGCGACCCAACAGCTACATGTACATCCCCGCAACCACATCCACATCAAAAGTGTCAGCATAACATGTCGGACAGCCTTCAACACACATACTGGAGACTATTTTGCCAGCAGGTCGCTTCCAAGTTGGCTGCTGGCCGGTGAAGAACGTGTCTTCCACCCATGCAGCACCTGTCGCTGCAGCCAGCGAAAGGAGCAGAACCGCGTACATCTCGGGGATAGCTGAATATGCGTTCGGTGCTACCTCTGTGTCAAGTCTTGACCCGAAGTGGCAACGGACATCGAGAGTCACCCGTTTCTGCGGGAGGGAGAAGCTTTGTCTGTCGCGGGCATGGCAAGGTAGAATAGCCAAGGTAGCAATGCCTGGACATACTGAAACTGCCAGACCAAAAAAATGCAACAGCACCTTCTGTTGGCCTGGACGACGAGGTTCGAAACTACTGGGAAAATGGCAATCTGAATTCCGAATGCTGCCGAAACTAAGCGCAGTGCTCCCTGGCACCATCAAGACCTCAGGCACAGCACAGAAGTCTCCCAAAACGGGTCCAACAGGCCCGGGTCTCGCCCCTTGTAATAGTGCCCCGTGAAATCGAAGTCTGGATGCGATCTGCAGAACAACACACAGGCGTTGAGGACTTAGGACTTCTGAAGTTGTACCCCGTGGTGCGAGGATTGACTGGTTGCTAGGATCAAACGACCTGGGGGCCACCCGGATGAAAGTGGAGAGGCGGGCAACAGGGGTTTATCTGAAACCGCGTCGGCTATTCTCCAGCTTCCCCGCCTTCGATGAAGTCATGTCCACAAGTCGGGCACCTGGCTTCAGCTGCACTAAAATTCGAGCTTGCATACCAGGAGAACAAACCTCTCATGCTCACCAAATGGCTCCTAAGAGCACGATCTACAATGCAGAACTGATCCCACAGCTGCGACCTTAGCAAAGTTCTCATGGCCTTTGACTCCAGCTCTTGCATCCGAGGACAACACCCCAGATTAAGCCCTCAGGCATTGGTGGCTGTCCGGCCAGAATTGACAAGCATGTAGTTCGACTACAAATAGATTCAGTAAATGCCCCTAAAACCCAAACCCCAAATTAGTACTAAACCCTGAATAGCTGTGCCCCTTTTCTTTAGCCGGTCCCGGCTCGATTCAGCCGTGTCCTGTGCTCACAGAAGATCAAGAGTACGTCTCCGAGAGCTTCTGGGCCTGTAACCAGGCGAGTCACCGGAGCAGGGCATATCCATATCTATATATGCGGAACAAAACCGTGTGTATGCATATATATATATATGTATATATGTATATATATATGCACATATTTCTCTGTGCTTCTATATATGTGTATGCATACACAGATGTTTCTTACATATGTAACTGACAAGAATCATAACATAAACGAACTAATGAACACTTTAACAACTAAGCCAAGAACGATCACATGAATGTACACATGCATATGCAAAACTGTGTGCTCACCCCACCACCACGACTACCACCGCCACCACGCCCACCCCACGTGATCCCCATCAGGGTCTTTGTTTACCCCCCCGCCCTTCCGGAAGGGCGGGGCGGTGAATGAAATACTGTCACGCTAAACATCCAAAATGCATGTGTATATACATATATATATATATGTGTGTGTGTTTGCGCATATATATATATATGCATGTAT